TCTGGGCACTAACAACGATTTTTATCGAAACATTCACTAACTGAATTATCTTAGACGAGGCGCTGCAGGTTGGTATGGTCCTCTTTGCCACATTCTGGCACATGATCTTATTACGGATAGTCTCCTTTGGTTTTGAGGAAGACACATTAGGCAATTTTGGGCAACAACAGGCATCGCTGAATTAGATTTTCGAAGCTATAGTCAGTCTCAGCTCAGTTTAGGCGGTAGTTAGGCGGACCGACTCCGCTGCGCATGTCATCGCATCGCAGCAACAGCACATTATCCGCTCCAAGAACCTGCGTCTGCGTCTCCTCATTCTCCTCTAGCTTCAAGCCAGCGCTTGCGCTCGCGAAGCATCCAGCGATCCGAGCTAAAACATACTGTCAAGGAGGGTCAGACCTCGGTGTTACTCCAGATAACCTGTATATCATTAAACTTGCTTTGAAATGGTGATTTCCAATATACGTTTATTATTTGCTAGGCGGCTATCTGGAAGGATTACGAGCGTTTCGAAGAGGTGGCTGTCGAGCATTCTGCAGCGCATGTCTGAGGGAAAACGTTTTGAAAACTTATTTGGATTTCTTGCAAGTGCGCCTTTTCCAGTCCGGTTTCATTCTGTTCTGGCAGTCCGAACTCACTTCTTTCTTTGGCAACACTCAGAACTTTGGTCGATCGCGTTGCGATACGCGAAACGAACGTCTTGCCTTTCTTAAAGGCAGTAGGTCGGCAGAATGAGACCCGTGGCAAAACAAGGTCACAGGGTAGGAGCCCCCATAATGGAATCTATGGGCCAAAGTTCGATCTTTCTCTGCCACTTCTAACCCCCGAAATTTCAAAGCGAAAGCAGCGCTCATCTCCTGTCCTCTCCGAACCCGCCTACCCCATGAACGAGTGAACGCGAAGCCCGTCATGGCGAAGACGCAGAGTCGTTGCGGGACCTCATGCTTATAGCATTGCGGCTGGCGCTCTAACCGCGGAAGTCACTCGTCCATGGGGTGGGCGGGTTCGGAGAGGACAGGAGATGAGCGCTGCTTTCGCTTTGAAATTTCGGGGGTTAGAAGTGGCAGAGAAAGATCGAACTTTGGCCCATAGGTTCCATTATGGGGCTCCTACCCTGTGACCTTGTTTTGCCACGGGTCTCATTCTGCCGACCCACTGCCTTTAAAGGCAGTGTGTCGGCGGAACTTCGTTTTCCAGTTTTTCACCTTTTTGGAGCATTTTGCCATGAGGAATCCATATCTGGGCTTTTCAGTGCGTGAAAATGGCGAAAATGAGCTCATTCCGAAGCTTTCCAGGCCCGCAATCAGAGGAGTATACTTGGAGGTGGGCGGGGTCCGGAAGGAGAGAGGGGCGCGGAAGAACTCCGGCCTATCTTCACTCAATGCGGACCTGGAAAGCTTCGGAAAAAGCTCATTTTCGCCATTTTCATGCGCGGAAAAGCTCAGATATGGATTTCTTATGGCGAGAAGGCTCCGAAAAGGTGAAAAACTGGAAAACGAAATCCTGCCGAGACACTGCCGTTCATAGAGGCGGTGTCCAGACAAATTGGGACTTATCGGTATTTCGCGAAACTGCCGATGGGATTCTGATCAAGGCGCTGCCCGAGCGGCAGCGCAGATGATTGGTTCACGGCTGGGAAATCCGTCCCCAGACCCTGCTTGCGCCGTGACCGTAACCCGGAGGTGACTTCGCTCGCACTAACACTTTGTTCGCGCTGGGACCCATCCTGGGTCACTCGCGGGTTATCGGGGTGCCTTCATACTGCGTCGGCAGCCGCCGCTAGCAGCCCCGCAGCAGCCGCCAGCATCCCGTAGCCGCCGCCGCTGGCCGCTGTTGTTCATATGAGCGAAAGATCATCAGACTCTTACTACTTTGAGTACATTCGCCTAAGCTTCTCATCTCCCACACTTTTTCCTTCCTGTTGCCGCCAGTATTCCATATATCATATTGGGTCGATTGTTGTTGTTATCTTATTGACGTAAACTGGTTCTCCTGTTGGTGCTCATTTTCACTCTTGCAGTAGAATCATAGTACGCCAAAGTTTTTCGCGGTGTGAATTCTCTGACTTTGGATGCGTCCAGTTTATGTAGGTCTATTTATTTATCTTTTGAGTATGGTCTTGTTTCGATCTTTTCATTGTCTATCGGTTCATCTTGAAAATCTCTGTAATGTGAGTTGAACTGCACATTAGCAGCGATAGGAAAAAAAGCGTGGAAGATGGAAAGCGTAGATGGGTGCACAAAGTAGTAAGAATCTGGTGATTTTACGCTTCCATGAACAAAAGCGGCCAGCGGCGGCTATGGCTGCTGGCGGCTGCGGGCTGCTGGCAGCTGCTACGGGCTGCTAGTGGCGGCTGCCGGCGCAGTATGAAGACACTTTTACGGTTACGGCGCAGGGTGGAATGTTCGGAGATAAATTTCCCAACCGTGAATGGTTCATTTGCGCTGTCGCTTGGACGGTGCCTTATGACCGCAGCATTAACATTTCCGCCGCGAAGGGGATCGCAGCTTCAAAAGAAAGCTTCATATCCTGAAGCTCCAGATATCTGGTTTTCACGCTGTCTACCTATCCGTAAGTATAGGGCACTCGAAAAATCGTGACGATGGCGCGACCGCACGCGACACGCACGCTTACCCGGAAACCGCTATTTTCTTGGTTTTCATCTCTACTCGAATGGTTTTTCTACCTACATACATGTATGATAGCATTCAGCACTGAAAGCAACTAAGTTGAGAGTTGAGGCGGTGCCTTTTTGTATGAGTGCTTGCTGCTCCTGTGGGCGCGTAGACCGCAGTCAAATCCGTCGTCACGATTTTATAAATGACCTATACTCCCAATATCCTTCACATGAACATCTTGAATGGGAGCAAGAAGCTGTACAAGCCGCGTTCTCCAGCTTTTTGTTCGATCCCCTGATGATTGCTGGCTGCCGATCGTCTTTTCTATGAAGCTATTTTTCTTTTTTGAAGTCAGTAAAAACATTCCAAAGTTGTGCTGTTTACCTAATCCAACAGTGCTTATCATGTTTCTGGTAAGAACAAGTGATGTTTCGAAGTCATGAAATTTGCGATGAACCACAAGTTGAAAGTTGGGGTTTGTCGAAAAAATCGACATTTCAAAAACTCATTTGTTCTTACCAACAACATGCTTAGCACTGTTGGGTTGGATAATCAGTACAACTTTGGAATGTTTTCCTTGACTTGAATGAAGAAAAATGACTTTGAAGAAAAAACGTTCGGCCACCAGGGATCATCAGGGATCAAACAAAAAGCTGGAAAATGCGGCTTGTACAGCTTCTTGCTCCCGTTCAAGATGTTCATAGTGAAGTATGATGGGAGTATTTGCGGAAAGGTAAACAGCGTGAAATGCAGATATCTGGAGCTCCAGGATATGAAGTTTTCTCCTGAAGCTGTGATCCGCTCCCCGGCGGGGACGTTAATGCTTGCGGCCCTTACAATTAGTTAGGAGCCCCTCGTCAGTTTCCAGACAAAACCATAAGCCCAAAATTGCCCGGACACTGCCTTTAAGTCATCTCGTTGTATTTGTCCAGATCTGCTCAACTCGCACTTCGCAATAGCGGGTGCGAACTTCGCGTCTAGGACCTTCCATCATTGAAGTTGTACACCCGTGCATGCCTCACTCACAAGAGCGAGTGCGTTTGACTGAGACAGCCTCCAAATGTGACAATCTGGACTCACTCTAATCTAAAACGGCAGACATTGAAAATCTAGCGTGGTATTAAATGTGTTAATGTTTAGCGCTTACTCTCAGTGAGATGGCAGTCTATACATCTTACCCTGGTTTGTGCACTGCACACATTTCAAACATCGCGCAAACCATCCTCACATTTTTTCGTCGACTCGAGCAGACGGAGCTTCGGTAAGTTTTTGACATCTTCTTGTTGAGAAATAGGGTAGATCATTAACTTATTGATGTCAATGCCCGCCCATTTATCGCTAGGAGGCGTGACAATCGTGCCTAACTTACATGTTCTGCGAAACCCAGATGAATGTTTCCAACAAAAATTAATACAAATGGAAAAGCATACAAATGATGGAAAGCGCAGCTGTGTGTGGCGCATGCATTAGATTTGAAATGGCCAGGATCTCTATCACCCTTCCCTTTGACTAACGAAGTGGAGAAAATGCAGGATATCCATAAAAAAAGAAGCATTGAAACAGTTTGGATAGATGCAATGAAGATATCGAAAAAATCCGATCCGATGAAAATATATGCTGCTTGAGATCTATAGTCTGTCCCAATCGAGATTAGGCTGAGATGATGACTCGAAAGGCGCGCGCAACGCTAGGAATTTGCGCTACATGAGCGCGCGCAAAGTACTGCCAGAAAGATCTTGGAGAATGATAGGATAGACACATCCTTTCATAACTGATCGAGGATGACGTGAACCATAACGTTGCGGACGCCTTGCTGATTTTGGCCCATTTCAAATTGGGACAGACGGTACGCTAATTCAGCACAGCGAAATCCATGATGCAGCCGCTCCACATATTGGTGTGGGCCGTGGATAATCTTGGGACTTGCGTGCGACACAGAAGCGTTCTCAGTCGCTTAGGTAGACGCCAGACTAAACGATTGCCTGCTTCAGCAGGGCGGGCGCAGTTACTGTCAATTGATGTTATGTTATAGGAAAATCAAGTTGGCGTTGCGATTTCGCTACAACAAAAATTTTTTATTGTTAAAGCCTTTCCATCATTCTCTCATTCTGCAAGGCCTTATTTAATCATTATCATCTCTTCAAAACTATTGTTGTTGCTGAAATCGCAGACGCCACTTCGATCTTCGTCCAATATGACGCCAAATGACATCAGCTTACTAGTGGCGATCCTGCTGAAGCAGGCAATCGGGTAGACTGGCGCCTACCTTGAATGCTGGCCATGGCGGCGTGCGCTCGTGTGTGACAATCATTCGCACGTTGAAAATGATCGAATCCGCATTCGATAAATCAGGGGATAGGCGAACGTTACTACCAACTAAGCGTCTGCATATATACTAAGATCCCACTACATCAGAAGCCAACGGTTTATACTAGCACGTAGTCACAACAGAACCTGAAGTGTAGATTGCAGAAAGAAGAAACTTACACGACTTTTATATGTTAGATGCTTCTACTCACATGAAGAATGCAGCTTCAATGGCACTTACCATATGCCAATAAGGAAGTCGAAGAGTATTTATTAACTTCAGGTTTGTTACTTCCTAAATATTGGACAATCTCTTCATAGAAAATCGATTATGCCCAGGATTGCAGGAACGCCTTTTTTCAGAAGCGGATAGAATCACAGGTAATCTGTGCGAGAAAATAGAAGGTTAAGAAATGGACAAGTGCACGATTAGGACACAACAAACCCGAGCAAAGGAGCTGGAAAGCGGAACAAATCAAAAAGATAATTGGCTAGGCTAAAGTCAGATGTAGAAATGTGAATTTTTTGAGAGATACCTCCAGCGATATCTCAACTGATTCGGACAATCGCTTGGCCACTTCGCACATAAGAATCATAAAGCAAAAACAATATTAGGAGGCGGAAAACTGTCGTCGGGCAATTCGGACTAAGGGAAAGATGATAAGCTATAAGATATAAACAATAAGTGACTGGAAAACAACTACGTTTCCAAAAGAAACGTCTCGGTCTCATGCACATTTACTTCTCCTCCGCTGCATACCATTTGCATTGAAGGTAACTGGACGGAACAAAACCCTCGGTAGAATTATCAATCCTGGAAATTTGGTATGCAATGCTATGAACCGCGACTCAAAAATATGCTTTCAAATTAGATTATAGAAAGTATTTACCGTCGAACTCTTGTCCATCCATCTCCTTCATCTCGTTCAATGAGCAAGAGTTCTTCACCTTCTTGTATTCCGATGGTGCCTTCTGTACCACCCTCAAAGGGGAACTGTGCAACAGCTGTACCTAATGCAGGCATGGCGCACTCTTCGTATACCTGTAATTCACACTCATAAAGCAAGCCAAAAACACTCCAACTACATAGATAATGCCATGGTGAAACTCCAACCACCTACTGATTATTGAGTATCACGCTTTTAAAAACTCCAAAATGCAGAACATTGTAAATGACAAAAGAAGGTCGCTTTCAACAAATGTTATTTACCCTATAACATCCAAACGTACCTCATCACGCCGCAACTGAGCACCGTTATTTCGATTAGGAGTATTGACGCCGTCACTACTTGCTATACTTTCTTCGCTGTAACTACCACGTTGAGATGTTTGGGGATGAGGAGGACGAGCTGGCGGCGCGCTTCCGGTGGAACTTCCCGACCGCAGCGATGGCGGAGTGTCATTACCACCTCAAATATTACTATTCATGGTATAAACAGTGTTAACTCTACGTTCTACACATCAATGTAGAAGTGACCGACTTCTAAAAAGTGTACTGTGAGTAAGTGCTTACTCTGCATTTGTGCATCTTCTAGCAACAGACGAAGCTTAGATATTTGCTGATCCAGAGATTCGATTTCCTTCTCATACTGGCTGAGCTGAGATTCACAGTCAGCTGCGTTACCCATCTTTGGATTGTCTGTGTACACCTAAATGTGGAGATACAGTAACCTGCGTATAACTAAACTGCCAATGTATAGACGATTCATAGCACGCAAAGATTGCGGACGTATCTGCGTCTTTCTGATCGAGCGCTCATTCGTCTCTTCTACCACCTGCTGTCTCTCCGATGCACGAACTATCTTGCGCGGCCGCAGCGCGTGGTCTGCGTGCCATGAATCGTACCTATATGACAGTGGCGGTTCGAGGGGGGAGTGGCGGGGGGGCCGATCTCCCCCCTAAGGAATGGGTCGCGAAATTCTTGAAAGTTACTTATATGGGTTATAAAAATGTGGAAGTGACTTGTTTATACTTGTAAACAATTAAAATAATTTTAAACTTTTTTGAAAATTCAAATTAGCCTTGTAAAAAATTTTTTTTGCGTGGCTGCCGCCAAGCTCCCTTTTTCCAAAATTTTGGGGTCACGGGCCCACAAAAATTTCGGCAGATCCCAACAATTTTTTCGGAGTGTGTGGCTAACGCGACGCACCTTCACTCAGAAGAAAATTTTAGTCCCTCCCCCCGGTCCGAAATCCTGGAACCGCCACTGATATATGACAAAGTCATAGAGGTAATGTGCAATCAAATCCAAATCTGGGTATATGGTTGTCAGACCGCCAACTGAATTAAGTACTACAACGATTGTGCAGCGGCTCTAATCCCGCGTATACATTTCCTCCCAGGAAAACATGACGCTCCGCGGATACGCACGATAACGCAAAGGAATTTTGATGGGGGAACGGAACTTACCTACCCGAACGACTTGCCGCGACATACCATAGGGGTCATGAGGTATCAGCAACGCTAATAAGCGCCGTATGCAGAACTGATTTTTACACATAGTAAGCCTCGTAGTCATCCAACAACGCATAAAGCTGTAATTTCGCTGTAATTTCGAAGTGCTTCAGCATCGACGTATGCCCGGTTAAGGTGAAAGGTGGTAACTAAGGGTTTTGCAAGATGTTATTCCCAAATATCAGCAGGTTTGTTCAATGCCAATTCGCATGTAATTTTTACAACAAATTTCATTGTAAATTCGGAAAAAGGGAGAGAAACGAAAAAATCTGCTTTGAGTAGGCAAAATGGCTGAATCCGAATTCTCTCAAACTATCATCCAAAATATTCGATCCAAGAAACAAAAAAATAAACACTAACACTCTAAAACTGAAAATGACTCCGGACTGATCAGCTCTGCATACAATGCTAAGTTAGTGTTGCTGACAACTCATGATACCGTAGATACATTGCGGCAAGTCTTCTGGGTAAGTAAGTTCTCTCACTCATTTTGATGTATAAATTTAATTTAAGCTTCCTTGGAACATCAAAGCTGATGTGAAATCCTCCAAGATCGCTACCTGCTTGCAAACAAGTTCTCACAAGATGCTACATTTGCAGCGAAATTTCTTATTTACTTTGCAACAGAAAAGTTCTCATGGTGTAGGGATATTCTGCAAAGACATCACTAAACACTGTTCACTATCACCTGCTTCATTTTTGCTGCTCCTTCTCGACTCTGTTGCCTTTTCTCTCTCTCCTTTTCTAATTCCGCAAGTCTTGCATGTAACTTTCGTATTCGCTGCTGTGGAGGAAGCTGGCCGTAATCACCGTTTGCATCAGCCTAAACGATAATTTTGAAATAGATACCACACATTTACAGTCGAGCCATTTGGACTTAGTATGTGTATTGACGGACGCCATGAGCGCCACCTCAGGATACCGTAAAAGTTACGCAACTAAAGAGATTTTTTGCTTTCTTTTTCTTTCTGAGTATGTCTGAATGAAATGCCTAGGGGTCCCTGGAAGTTCATTTCTGTTAAAACAGACTGATCAATCATTTAGGATCGTTTTATCATTGCAAAGTCATGGGATTCCGCAAGGAATGTGCATGTACAAACTTTATACTACTTGCAGGAAAGAAAGGTCGCGGACAACAACCACGCCCTCCGCATAAGAAGCTGCAGCTTGTGCCGCTATTCGCGAAGAGTCTATCGTCTCCACCCTAACTACAGTCGTTGTCAACAGCATGCCTCCCTTTCCGATCAGCTCGAGCGCGGCGTCCGAGCCACGTGCCTCGGCCGCGGGCGTACCGCTTGAAGGCAGCGTCCAGGCAAATCTGGACATTTGGGGATCTCACGTGGATAGTAATTTTGGGGTGTACGTCAAGAGGCGCGGTTTACCAAATAGCACATAACAGATGTTTTACAACTTTCCAAAAGTATATGAAATTTATAAAAAGATATGTTAGATAGTAGCATGGGTTGTTCAACCTTTATACTTCGGAAAAATTCAAAACAGCAATTCTTAAGGTAAAAACCCATGAAATTCATGTAAAGACAAATTCGTAGGTATTTCACTCTGTTTTGCAGCAAAAACCATGAAACTCAGCAAGTGCTGAAATTAGACAGATAGTAAGCTTTTGCACTTCATCTGGCACTGTTTAAACATTCGCATAGCACTAAACTGGAGTTTTGAGTTGATGATAGCTGGAGAAATCGCGCCTCTTGACCGTCTCCCGTAATTTTTGGGGCCCTAACTAAGCCACTACCCAAACGGCAGCTAAGATAGTGCTCTTACGGCTGAGATGTTCCCTTCAACTGGATCCCAGGATCGTATTTCGCATGGATTCATAGCGCAACCCACCAGTTTCGCATGGGTCCTCGTGTTTAACCCGTAATTTGGCTAGCACGGCTCAAACGGGCAGCAGAGCCCGATCTGTAGAGATCGGGGCGACGTGGTCAAACTTGCCATCGGCCCAGTACTAGGGTGAGTTCCAAACAGCGTGATAGTGATGAACATTTGTGATGATTACTGTGATCCAATACAGTCTCCCATTTGTACAATTCGATACGTATTGTTTTCCATGGGCAAGGAATAAAACTTTTGAATTACTTTGCACATTTCTGCAATTCTAACTTATCCCAGTGCTCTGAATAATCCTACAATACAATAACATTCAATGTGTTACTGATATTTAGGACGAATGGCGGTTTCCGGCACTTTTGAGAAAAAAATGTCTTCAACTCCTCGATCTGACTGATGTCGAATCATCAAAGGTGATCACGTCAACATCAGTCAGATCGACGAGTTGAAGGCATCAAGGCGCACATAGATACAAAAACTGTGCTCAAGGACCGAGAGGAAAGAAAAAACAAGAAAAAAACGAGTTTTCATGTGTTTGCAATATGCAAAGTTTAAGCCAGCATGCGTTCATGATATGCGCCGCACGCGCTGGTAGCGTGCTGCTTTCCACAGTATGTTCTACGACAGGTATGAGAGCGATGTACAGCAGATTGACAGATACCGCCTTAGGAATAAAAAGATAAAGGATTGGCGTCTTTACCTTCTGCGGAAATGCGCCAAACGCATTCTACCCCGCAGTCGAAGAGGCTGAATGCGTGCGAGTCTTACCACGACTAATGGGCAGGCAGCGGACAGCGGACTATCAGATCAGCACTTTTATCCTCCCAGATTTTCTGGTACCAATTTATCTCAAAGGGTAGAAAACTTGTGAAGCAGGGCGGGATCGAACGTTGGTCCGACCGTCATAGCGACACCTCATATCACTACGCCACTCTTCCCACCTAGACTGTACTAAATTCGATGGTGTAAGTTTCGAAGCTACTAAGATCCACACTGCGTGCCTACAAGGGAAGCATGTTCAGTCGAAGTGGCCTTTTTACATGGGATGTATACCATATTGGAGGGCATAAAACGCTGGTTCCAAATCTGCCTTCTCTATCTGCGAACGTTTATGGCCGAGTGGTTATGAGCGTAAAACTGAATGTGCAAGTATGACAAAAACAGTCGTGATCTGAAATGCAAGTATGACAAAAATAGTCGTCATATTTTTTCTAGCGCTTTGATGGGGCAGAAACAATCAGAGCACTTTATTCAATGAAAAATTTGAGAATAAGAATATAACACACTAGGTTGCTTTATTTGAGGGCTAGTATATTTTAGCAACTCATTTTATCCTATATGCACATATAATTTTTTGCTCCAATAAACGCTCATAATTCCTCGTCCACAAATGTTCTGCAGATAGGAATGCAGATTTGGAATCAAAGTTTTATGCATTGAATATCTATACATCCCATCCAAAACGGCCACTTCGACTATGCTTCCGTTGTTACATTCAGCAAATACGTCAATTTTTCATATTTCTGACACGCTTGACTTCGATTCTCGGCGCTCTTTTGTTTGATTTGAGGGGACCTGACTTCAGCAACGTTAAACAAACAGCTGTTCATCTGTTTCTCCCTCGATTATAGATTCAAATCGAGAGGATGGCAGCAAATGCAGTCTTTCTACAACACGTCAGCACAAATGCCGTGTTGCAGTTAGGCTGACGCGCGTCCGCTGCGCAACGGTTCGCGCCGTATCGCAAGGACAGAACATCGATTCGTGCTAAGAAGAACTTACGCCTCCGTCTCCGCACACTCCTCTGTGCTTCACAGAATGCCAAAGCTAAGCTCTCGCAAATCCTCCAGCGAACGCGTTGCTCCAATCAAGATGTTTTGCCTACTCCGGGTTGAAACAGACTGTACCACAGCGAGCAGGATCCTGACCTATCGGAACCGCCTACTACAGGGTAGTCATAGGCGATTTGCGGGACGCAAAGACGGGGCGTTACTGCGGACGTTGTCGGCGTCCCGCTAAAACAAGCGTTTTTTCATCCCACTTGCCGTCGGCTATCTCTCCATGCATGAACTTTCTTTGTCAAACGCAATGACGTCCAGTCTCCGTGTGCGATGAGTCGCCTATATACAGTCGAGTAGATTTCCTGCTTAATATAGTGTCCCTGCAGACGCGACAACGCTGGGGCGTCACTAATTGCCTGACGAGTTCCCGAGCTAGTGTTTTCCAGTGTTTTCTTTGCTTATTCTGTGCTTTTTAGGTGATTCGTCGCTGATAAAGAAGAAAAGGGTAAGTTAGAGAGTAGTTTCTGTTTTCTGAGAAGTTCTACCATCGCATATTCCCAGATATCCACATGGAAGCAGTTCGCATCAGCTTCTTGCCTATTTTTTTGTCACTTCATGTCTCTTTCTTCTTGTGAGGTACTTCTTTGAATGCTAGTGGGTTTCTATGAATGACTAATTGTCTTTATCAGATGAAGTACTTAATTAGAATGCTATTTCTTGTGGATGAAAGCCGAAGTTGCAGCAGGACAAGCCAAGTAGCGTTCAAAGAAACGCCTCACAAGAAGGAGGAGGTTTGAAAGAAGAAGTGACAGAAGAAAAGGAAATGACAAGAAAATAGACAAGAAGCTGACGCGAAATGCTTCCACGTGGATATCTGTGAATATGCGATGATAGAACTTCTCAGAAAACAGAAACTACTCTTTAACTTACCCTTTTCCTCTTTATTAGCAACGGATCATCTCAAAAGCATGAAATAAGCAAGGAAAACACTGGAAAACACTAGCTCGGGAACTCGCAAGGCATTTATTGACGTCCCAGCGTTGTCGCGTCTGCAGGGACACTATATTAAGCAGGAAATCTACTCGACTGTACTTATGGCGCATTCTAACATAGATCAGCGATGTTTGAGCAATCATAGAATAGTGGCAATGGAGGCGGCCGCTCCTGTAACCCCATTTCCTCGCTTTTCATCTTCTCTAACAATTGTTTTTTGAAAGCTCCTCAATACCTGAAGTAACTGTGCTCAGCGCTAAGGTGATGATTTTCCAAAATTTCACGGACGGTATTGTGACTCCCTACAAACCTCAAGGATCAGCTGGTATGAAATAGGACTTATGTACTTTGCATGCCTCCAGGGTGCATCATATGCCGCAGGGCATAGAAATCACTGTACAGAAGTGGGGTAGTTATATCGCATGCCAGACATGTGGAGACACGTACGTCGGCGAGACGGGCTGCACGTCAGGAGGTACGCCGCGCGCGGCGGCCGCTCTTCCTCACACGCCGCGTTCCAATCTTGGGGCCTCCATTACTCTCCGCCAATAGAGATTCCCGGCGGCAAAAACAGGGGGGGGGGTGATGATGGGGACAGATACATGATTTAATGCTATAGGTAGGACCGCTCCAGGAGCGCTGCTGTTGTAAGGGCTGAACTACGTTGCGGCGTCTCTTCGCGAAAAATTCGCGCCGATCGTACCTCCTGACCGTCTCCCCGAGATGGGCTACTCACTAAGTCGAATCATTTCATATGATAATGTGTGTATTGCACACAACATCCATCTTTGGCGTCCCCATCCTGGACTTGCAATCGCTCAACTGACCTATTATCGCCTGTATCAGGTTGTGGAGCTGAGACCTGGAAAGTAAAGAAAACGTAGCGAAAACCCCGAAGAACTTACTTAAACGGGTGTCTGCTCTTGAAATCCAGGATGAGGACTACGAAGGTGGAGATCCATTAAACACATATATGATCATATGAAATGATTCGATGGTATGTATCCGCGTCAGAACCTAGCCGGGCTCAAAAAATCAAACTCAAAAAACCCACTAGGCAAGCATCGCAGACAGTTCCATAATGACGCATGCGCGTAGAGGTCAAATCTTAGCGTTATCGATCCAAAATCCCGGCGCGAAAGACTTTGGGGTGTTTTGGATACCGCCAAAAATCCAAATTTGAATCGAAAGGATGAAAGCACAGTCACTAATGAGCTGGTGCCGTATCAAATTTGCGGCTTCTGAGATCAAATCGAGGTCAAGCACTAGGTACAAAAGGAAGTTAGAGTTCAGTTACTGGTATGGTCTGCAGGAAGACGGTCAAGAGGCGCGATTTCTCCTGCTGTCACCAACTCAAAACTCCAGTTTAGTGTTATGCGAGTCTTCAAAAATACCAGATAGAGTGCATTGGCTTACTATCTGTCTGAGGTTATTACTTGTTGAGTTTGGTGGTTTTTGCTGGAAAACGAACCAAAATATTTACAAATTTGTCCTAAACGGCATATTCATGGGTTTTTGACCTTCAAAATTGCTGTTTTGAATTAATTCCAAGACAGCAAGATTGAGCAACTCATACGACTACCTAATATATCTTCTTCCAAAGTCCATTACTTTTAGAATGTTACGAAACCTTTATTGTGCGCTATTTGGTGTCCATCTGGCAATAAAAATCGCGCCTCTTGACATACACCCAGCAAATGCTTGATAACAGAGTTACGCAAGTAATATCATTTGCGTAATGTAACGCACTAAAACCTCAAATCACGCGTCTTCATAGCCCCGAAATACACTGTCCCAAAAAGATGTGCACACTGTTTGAACGTTAATAACTCTCTTTCTTTCACGTCTTTTGCCAAGCCTGAAATACCATTCTGTAGAGCGAGGTCCAACTTAGATTTACAGTATGGAGCGAAACACTAACCGCTCTTCGTTGCTGTAGGATAACGGTATGAACTTTTAGCATACAGCGTCGCTGTGAAATAGGCTTTTTGACGAAATAATTTCAAAAAAAACTGAAAATCTGTGTGGCGACGTTTTTAAGCGTGCTGATTCCACTACATGAGTTTCCATGAGTTTTTCGAGCTTTCTTGATGGCATATTCACATTTCTGACGAATATTGGAAAGACAGTTTTTACCCTAAATCTGAAATAACTTGTGAAAGAATCACTATACTGAAGTGCATTTCATATTTAGAGTAAACGACTCCGACTAGTTCAGTACAAGAGTTTTTGGCTTGTTTGGTTCCCTTGCTGAGGCAAAAACCGGCAAAAAACCGCTTTCAATGGCTTAAAATCCTCCTCGATGTTTCTACCGTAATATTACAGTAATGAAGAGCAATCGATCACTCGCTCCACATTGCAAATCTAAGTTGAACCTCGGTCTACAGAAAGGCGCCTCAAGCTCGGCAAAAGACATGAAAGCAGGAGACTTATTAACGATCAAACAGTGCGCACATCTTTTTGGGACACCCTGTATATCGTTTGATGGACTATGAACAACGAAAGCAGCTTGAACGCGTCACGTCTATAAGGTAAGTGGGAAGTAAAAGCAACTGAAGCCATTTGGCAGATATTTTCATGCCGATCAAACAACGCTTCTTTCGTCCACAAATTAGAGTTTTGCATCTATTTATGATTTATGAAAGCTCCTGTGCACTAAGGAAAGGTGCACGGACATTAGCAGATAACCCAAGGCCGATATCAAATGCTATATCATGCAAGAACCCACTTTTCATCCGCTTCTGTGTCATGGTTGGAAACCCACCGATGCAAAGATGAGGAAAAGCTTGCAAATACCTTGTGCTTGTCTCCTCCACCGAAGAATTTTTGGTGCATCGACTGCTTCCTAGAAACTCCTTTGCCATCTTTCTTCCCACCACTTAACAATCCTCGCTTCAGCGTTGAGTCGACATGCGAAACTTCTAGACATAAGATTTCTGAGCATTGAGTGTGATGATGGATAAGACCTGAGCTTGAGTGTAAATTTACACAAAAAGATGTGTTTGAAAAAAAGGATGCTATTACCCAGTTTGTCGGGTCGTCCCACGGATTGCCGTCGTTACGGTGCACGCAACAAGCGGGTGAAACGTTTTACCAGCAGGCCGCCATTGACAAGCCGTAATCTGGTGTCGTTTCAGCCGGGCGTAGCGTGCTCCGCAACTCGACCAGTCCGTGCGGTAAGACACCGGCACCTCAGCTATATTGGTGAAACAATTAACAAAAATGGATTTTCAGTATTAGAGTATGCATAAGTTTTGCTGCCGGAGGAAGGCGCACAACAGAGGAGCGCAAACGCGATTCCACTACCGAGCGAGAGCAGTGCATGGTCACAAGATATAGCTGCCCGTACGTTGCCTTTGTACCCGCTCAGCTTGTCTGAGTAGTCCGCCTTCGTCCGGCAAAGAGCTCCCAGATAAATACATGTATAGAACGTGTAACCGCAACGGTAACATACCTCCACTGTTGATGCAAGAGTCAGGAGGACCAAGATCATCAAAATGAATGGGAGGAGGGAATGCATAGCCAGTCCTAAACAATGATGAAACAGATGTTGAAGGTTTGAAGTGCCGAAGTATCTTTGTATCTCTCTAGTAAGCAGGGTCCTATAGTTTACGCAGAACAATTCACTAATGCATTACATAATCGACTGAAAACAAATCGCGGACATTGGACTTCCTTATCAAAGAATTATAGTTAAAGTCTATACATGTGGGATGCTTTCAACAGAAGAAATTGAGAACGGAAAATTTTCTTATAGCTCGCACTCACATCCCGTCCGGCAAAGGGAAGCTGTGAGGAGGAGCTTTTTCTTCGATCTTTTCGATCTCAGCTCTCTGTTGACTCATCATCAAAAGGCTCTACTTATCTTTGTCATGAGCATTGCAGGGAAGCGTCATATAAGCAAATATACCTTGTTGTACAATTTTTCTGGATAGACTCCAGCAGATAGCCACTACTTTGTAATCATTTATCTCGATACGCGGTAAATAAAACTTCGATGTGTTGCGAACCTACCCGCAGTATAAACTACCCTTTTGGAAACCGACCAAGTATCAACATAATGAAGTTGGCCAACCTACCGCTACATCCTATCAAAAAAGTGCTAGCACTCGCACAAAACCTAAGCACATCTACACAGAGTTCCAATCGATTTGAAAAATGCGCAAGGTGGAACAGAGTGACGTAACCTAACCTGGAGGTTCTTAGAAAAACAAAGCAATAACATTTGCGGCATAATATATGCTTTTATTCATTACGCTCACAAGATCAAATAGCCCTGCCTTGCAGTGTAGGGTGCGTATATTACGCCCAAAATCTTTAAAGGGAGCGTCCAGGCAAAATCTCTGCTCCGCTAGGAGTAGTACATCTGCGTAGGTCCGTTCCTCTAACGTGGCCTCTAGATAGAAAAAATGGACCTGGAACATGCGAAAGTGGTATCAAGCCACGCCAACCCTATCTCCGCCCACCTAGGTACCAAAAGTCGTCTGTGCTTTCAGGAAGGGGCTCCCGAAAATCGGTTGTTTTGCATATATTGCACTTCACTGTAATCAGAGCCACGCAAAGAATGACAAAAACATGGAAGACCATTTGGATGGATGTTGCTTGTGACTATAGTCGCCTACAAAAGGTATTTCTGCACGCATGGAATCGAAAACAATCATCTGCGTGGAAACGACTTAGACTGCTGCATTGATGTGTTCAAAATTTTTCGACAATTTTTGCGGAAGGCACACATAGTAGGAAGGCCTTTTATCCGAGAACTGCAGAACTCTCGAGATCAAAGTTGGAGTCAAAAGACGAAATGAGTTCTCTTCCCAGTATCATACAAAGGTACAATATATCTAATTGATGCCCGTCTTTAAAGAAGACTGCATCCCCCACAAATGAAAATGTTCGTGACTAGGTGAAATTTTAGCCTGATTTGCCTAGGAGTGGAGATTATGACTAGACACAGTTGAGGAAGTGAACACCATGACCTGTGAGATAGTCGAATTAGGCAGATTTCCCTTCTCATATAACAGCAGTGACGAATCGACTTGAATGAAGAAGCGCATATCCAGTTTAAAAGGAATGGGTTGTTCAGATAAATTTGAGCTTTCATTGCTTAATCACGGGTTGTTTCGCAAAACTGGAAAGGACCCTGATGACTTGGACTTGTTATACACAACGTCTGCCAAAAAGACCTTGTACCAAATAAGAACCAATGCTAAGCTCCAGGAGTTTGTCAAGAGAATCAGCGCTAAACTGCGTCCCCACAAAAGCGATTAGGCACATTGTTATTCGTCATACAATGAAGACGGCATAAGCTGACATATTTTCTTCAGCCGACTCATGACAATGAAAATAAACATCGTAGAGCAACCACTTAGTCAGCGCACGATCAATGTAAAAATATTTGAAATGGCATGGAAGATCGCGCATATACAGCATTCCATCAATGCTAGTATTCACTTTGTGATCCTCGCAATTGAAATGCAAAGTATCTAGATGATATTTGTGAGCTTTTCAGCAGCATTGACAAGCAATAATAATCTACCGTTGCAATAAGTTATAATTAAAAAAAACTATGATAAGAACAAAAGCAAGCATAAACGGTCTCATAAAAGTAAGTAAACATGCTTTAAGTGCACACAAAAAACCTACTTGAATTGTTCTACAACCATAGCGGTATCTTGGATGGCGTCAATCTGTTGCACGGCCTTTCTCATATCCTCGTGACACCGCGCTGCAAAAACTCATCTTTAAGATAAGCCATCTTTATCAAAAATTACAATATTAACTGCACATTTTCGCAGTGCCATGGTCAGTGATCATAAAGTTGAATCATTTGAAATGCAACAACCATCAGCGGTTCAGTTGCTTTGACCTTATAATAAACTACCAACACGATGTCGATACGCAAACATAACAACTAAACACTTGCCTATGATAGGACGGACGTCTGCTTCCGAAGCAATGCACAGCTCCATCGCTGTTTTCGTATCGTTGATACGCTCAAGATCAATGGTCTGAAACAAACATTCCGTGAGATTCTACTATGGGCATTATCAACATTAGCAGAAGTAACTAAAATGTAATGTGGATTGAAAGCTTCATCTCACCCTCATGCGAGCCAATGCATCGGGAAGAAGTTGTGAATAGTGAGCATTTTGAGCTTCATTAGCGCCTTGTAAAGCATGTGCATAAGCCTGTTTCGCTTCTTCACTGATTTGACTTCGCATCTGCAATAGGCGCTTTGCTGACGCTTGTGTTATGAGTTACCGTATATATCCGAGCTAGTTTTCATGAGTAGTACCTCAGCTCAGTCTATGAGTTGCCTATGATGCGTTTGTATGAAGCAAATGCTTAACAAAGAAAGGCAAGCAAAATGTACTCATTGGAACTTCTGTAGAACACAGACTATGTAGTGTCAAACGAGCATGCTATGAGACCTGTGCATTGTTCTTGGCTTTATCTAGATCCAATCGAGATATCTCCATGTTCTTGTCGGCTTTGGCATACTTTAAATAAGCAGCTTCCGCCTCTTTGAAAGATTTGCTGAAACGAAAAAGCAATGACTGCAATAATCAACCAACAGCAAATTACACACCTGTAATGCTTTTGGGCTTTACCAAGATGTTCCATGGCACCAGCTAAATTTGCATGTATTGCTTGAAGGTCGGCAAGACATTGCTTTCTTTGCGCGCGATGTACATTGGATCTTGTCACTACGAATGGTATCACTTCTTTGCGAATTTTTTCGCCAACGACCTAAAGAAAGAAGTCGACAGTGTACAAGAGATAACCAGCGATGATTTAGAAGTGAGCACACCTCATGCTGGCCAGCCAGAGATTCCAGCTCTCGAAGCAAATTGACGAATGACCTTACGTACGTGAAGTTTTTGGCAGCTTCTTCATCCTCCTTTTTTCTTCCAAGAGATTTTTTTGCAAGATTTCTAGAATGCTATAGTTGACTCAACAAGATGTGTACACGCATTCTAATAGTTATGGTACCTTAGCTTTGCGGCGTATTCCTCTTCTATCAAAGCTCTCTCTTTGGCAAAAGTCCCAATCCTTTCGAGAAACTCTACTCCCTTTTGTGTATGGTTGGCAACCGCATCAGTTTGATCCTGAAAATCTCGAAATGATACCAACTAAGGCAACGAGAGAGGGAACACAACAAAATATCTGATGAAATTGATAAAACTCTTCAAAAATAGTTAATGAAAAACTAATCATCGACTAGATTTTCACGCTCCGCGTAGACGCTAGCTCTTCGCAAATTACCATTTCCAACTTCTGCGGTTCTGTTGCTTTTGACTATTTTGATTCGTTAAGTACACAGCGATCAGCATTTCTGTGAAAACTTGACGCTAATAACAGAGTAACAACTAACCCAAAGCTCAGCCCAACTTGCGGTTTCGGGCGTACAGCCGTTTACAGCCATGATTCACATTCGCCAAAATCCTCTCTAAAAGTAAATTTCAATAATTATGCAGTGAAGGAGTCACAAGACCGAGAAGGAACATCCAAAATCGATCAGCAAGCGATGACGAAGATCGAAACATGGATGGAGAAACAATTTCTTTCATGATTGTGATACATGAAGATTCTTCATGATTTTAAATATTAACGATACATCGGTTGCACACCTGTTAACACGCAAAAATATAGCGAACTGAAAAGCAAATAATCTCGGAACAACAGAGAGAATAAAAAAAACAAGCTGATAGATGATTTCCGGAAATTAAGCATATATAGATATGTAAACATCAATTATATACAAATGCAACTCTGTAAATCAAAAAACCTTCTTAGCTAGCATCTGAGCAAAACGTCCCTAGTCGATCCCAAACCCAGGAAATGACCAACGAAATTACCCGCCCTCAGATTTGATACACGGAAATAAACACTGCTCAAACCTAGTTATAATGAGGAAAATGGAGTTAGATACCTAGGCCGTTACACCTTCAACCTGTCAAACATTTGGGCATTCACTTGATGTTTACACTTTCATTTGTACCATTCAACTAGATTTGGATGACGTATTTGTACATTCGCCGGTCCAGATTCTATGTTATATTTCACCCGTTGCTCAACAAAGAGAAGCTCGGAGATATATCTAGCTGTTGTATTTTTTGTAAAGGAAAAGAAAGTCCAAATTCCCAAGCAGGGTATTGATTTTTTCAACGATGCAGTTAAATATCCAAGAATATGGGTTCGAATACCCTACTTAAAACTTATGGACACAATTTTGTTCACCAATTTGTTCTTTTGGTTCATTATTTAGTTATTTAGTGATAGGCCAATTAATCACCTAAAGTGAGATCTTGGCAATAGAGAGAACAATGATTTGAGCAGTGGGGTTTGGAAGTTTGTAAGCTGGAAGAACAGCGAATACTCGATGCTGCGGAGCACAACGATCAGCCGCGCCGGAGACGCAGCGCTAAAGTGGAATGTACTAACTTCGTCTTTGTATAAACTCAAACACGATGAGTCGAGGAATGTGTATATAACTGTTCCAAATTCATATAACAATCGCTACCGTCACAGCTATGTACCATTGCAAGTAATGAATGAAACAGATGACAACAGCTCCATAATGATGTATAGAACTCAGACAAAACTGTAGGCATCAAAACAAAGAATTCCCTACTTTACTGATACAAGATATGGGGTTCAATCTGATTACGGCACTTACGGCACGCAATGGAGATAAGTTTATTGAATGGGTATTGAAATCTATTCATCCCCCCACCCCCCACCTTCCCCTATTGAAATCTATTCATCCCCCCCCCCCCCACCTTCCCCTATAATGTAAATAACAAATACATTTGAGTAGGGATCTTAAGCTTCGAAGCACAATCATTTCTGAACCAACACATAATCTCGATGTAGAGCCAAGGCTTCCTATTCCTCACCAATCTGGCCGGAAAATAGCCTTCTCGCTTATACATGGCTTCTTCATCAAATTATAAAGAGGTAGAAGATATTTTTCGCAAGTAGAGTTAGTAAGCATGCTATAAAAATTAATCAATTGATATGGCTGCCGCTTAAATTTTTTTAACCATTATAGTTTGATGACACACGTCGCAGCGAACTATCTAGACTTCTACTTAGAGGTGGAACAACACTAAACGAACACCCATATTGATACATTGCGAAAGAAAAATAAGTAAGAAGATAACCTAAACTGACACATCTTTAAAAAGATAGACTTGCAAGTGAACATTACTCTCTAAAGAAATGAGCGTTCTTTGGCTTGAATGTGACAGGATGCTAATTCTGAAAGGAATCAGGATAGGAGTCGGGACGATCGATACAGCGGGTGTATCCTAGGCCTGGCACCCGTGTTATCTGCGCAGCTGCCAAGGAGGAAATGGAAATGAACTGCCATAAGGAAAGCGAGCAAATTGCTTGTCATATGGTCAGCATCTTGCCATGCCCCTGTACTTTCGGATTTTACAAAGAATGAAACAACCACTGAACTTGATGAAAATTAATCGAGTACTGCTTGTATTAGTAAATTGTGTCAATTCATGAACAGTTTGAATTTTCTGAAGGTTTACACGCTGGGAATGATGAGAACGCAAGAAACTCTTTGGAAACCGATGCGGATCGATGCGCTTGGTAGCAATCGATTGGTGAGCGAGGCCTGCAACGGCTACCTTGGCTGGTGCAATTCTGTTCTCCATCGTCAGTGAAGAGCAGACGGTCGAAGCAGAGCTCTATTCCGGTGATGAATATGCTCTGGATAGAGCAAAGCTGCTACAACGACTTCTAGAAGGAATGGCGGTTGTACAGATGTATGTACGCGCTCCCTGTCGAGGAAGCCACGAGGTCGCATTCATACGATCTCGCTAAAAAGAGGGACCTACGGATGGAACGTTTTGCTTCGCCACTGTTGTTTAAGGGATGGATCACAAATCATATAAAGATAAGAATCTGTTTCAGAATGAATCAATTATTGATGATTAAGCATCACATCAGCAGTCTTCTAACCTATATTAGATTGACGCTAGAGATTCTTGCGTGATTCAAACAAAATTTTTGCAATATCCCAAATCCTGAGCCTAAATTCGTAATTAGGTATGCTGAAAATGAAAGGTTTGCGCTTTGCGATAGTTATTCAATCGCAACTTTTCGTTGGGTAGCTCTGGAGAAACAAGCTCCTAAACAAGGCGCTTCAAGTGCATGATTTCGAGTTTAGCCGTAAAAATACCACAGTACCACAAACTAGTCTTTAGAAAATTTTATTTTTTGTGTAGTACTAGACCATACACTGCTGCTGCACTTTGATCTCGCATGCAACTCAAAAACAAAAATTCAAGAAAAAAATTATTTCAAACGTCACAACCTGGGTGAGCAGCAGGTCAAATTTCTTATGCAAGTCATATGGAGGGGAACTGCATCGATAAGACGACTTTGTCAGCAAAATGACGTTCTTTCATAATTTTTGCATTTCCAAATGGGATTGAAGCCTGCCACGATAATGTATGTACTACTGCTTAAGGGATAATCTTCTTTCTTCTTGCATAGAATCGAAAACTGTGAGATTCGCACAGTTATCCGACTTTCTTAATGCAAGAGCGTCGCGCCAACTTGGAACTTTTACTGAGATGCCAACGGTCAAATTTACTTTTTTGTCCTTATTTTTCATGTGCAACGCTACCGGTACAAAGTGCAACGCTGCTCTTTTTCATCTTTACTCGCCACACAATTTTATCATAAAACCAATTGATAGTCATTTCACCACGCATTCTCACTATGCTCACAGTTGAAGACCATTGAATATCTGACAAAGGATAGCATATAATCGAGATATACTTAGTACTAATACTAATTTACTTGACTGGAAACGACTTTTGTTCAGCTAAAAATGTGAGACTCTGATGCTCCCATCTCAAAAATACATTTTCGATTTGTATTACCTTAAACCATATACACGATGGAAGGCTACACTGAGAAGTACTCTTTCCACAAATAAATTTAAAAAGACTTGCAGTTGTCTAATTAGAAAGATGAAATTAGCACTAGTAATATCATCTCATACAAAATAAATTGCTTACAGATTACGAACATCAACGTAGTTTCTCACCAAGACACCTTCAGTCATCAACCAAACGCTTTCTAATCTTTTACCACATTTTTGAAAGTGGACAGAAAAATCTCCCGCTGATACACAGGAGGTTTTCGTTTCCAGTTGCTTATTTTCTACCAGCGGGACTACCTTCACAGTGTGTGCAGGAGCAGCTCTCGCAGAAGCAGATCCATAAAAAAGGCATCAAGTTCATTACGATGGGAAGAATGAATATTCATTCACGGTGCTAGCAAAGGGCAATGTGATTCGTAATGGTAACCAGAGACTAGATCAATGATGTCGTTTTTCGCAATCTCCACGGAGGGTTGAGTCATTCATCGCCCGCCTCCACCGGCAAGAGATCATCACCGCGGCGCAGTTTTCCACGCGTCCGGCCTGCCTCTGCCTCGACCCGAGACTCACATTCATTTCCAGAAAACTTGGGAGGGATACAGCAAATCTAGACCATCTCACATGACGGCAAGTTTATGATATGAGTTGGCGCAAAACAAAGCTGACAGCTTTCACAATTTTCCTAGCCAGTATTTATTGGATCCTTCAATACAGAAAGCCATTAAATCGTAAAGATTCAAACCAAAGTTGTTTATACAGCCACAAAAACGAAATACCACTGTATCATGGCTTGGAGCTGCATCCGAACTGAAAAAACCTTTTTTTGCGCTATGTCCAAAACAAACCGGTCGGCATTTCCAGGCACAAAATTACACCGCGTTTTTAGAGCTTGACCAAAAAGAAGTCAGGGGATAAGATTTGCTCCGCTGTGAGTTACATATGGACAGTAAGAAGACGCACAAAAACTCTTGTTTGATTTTGAAGAGGTTTACAGCCTCAATAAATCTGCTAGTGGCACAGTAGACCTCGTAAAGTAAAATCTTTACTCCGTGTCAACACAAACGGGAAGCTTGAAGGAAATTGGAAGTAGATGAATGAAACATGAAAGATTATCAACATTCGTCCAATATTATGGCAATCTTCATGTTGACTTGCCGTGTGCACCACTTTCCGGTACCTTAAGGAGGAGCTTGCTCCGAAGTTCGGTGTCGTAATCTCCATGTTTACTTTTTCCGACTCATTCTCGACTCGTCTAGGAATTTAAAGACTGACTCATAGTGGTAAATGTAACCGTTAGCTTTTTCATTGTTGCAGTATCGGAGAAGTATCGACCTGTGTATATCTTATTTGGTGTAATTGTGTGTAATCCAGCTTTTATCATCTTATCTACTGAATAAAACTTTGGCACAGCTTTGAGGAGAAGCTATGAATCCCGCGTACTTCATTTGCATGTGGATTATATGCCCTTGGTGAACTATCGTCGATTCGTTGACCGCACGGACATCACTGCTGAGCACGCGCCGCGAGCTAAAAAGGTTGCCCCAGTACAAATCCGCCATTGTACCGTCGGT